GCGTAATATTACTTATGTAGATTCATATGTTGTACAAGGTTTCATTTTTGGTTCAGTTTGGTATTCATTGATCGCAAAAGTTTTCGTGATTTGAATTGTCAATTTGACTGTGCACATTTAGTGTTGGTACTGACATGGTAGGATCAGATTGTACGCCGCAACAGGTAAAATAAGTGTGAATTGGTATGGTGGAATAAGGGTGAATTTGTACTGTATGGTGGGATCGGGTTGCATGCCGCAACAGGTGAAAAAATGTGGATTGGTAAGGTGAAATAAAGGTGAATTATGATATTGATATTGATATATGGTAGGATTCGGTTGCGCGCTGCAACATATATATATATATATATATATATTGTTGATGTTGTTACGGTGAAATAAAGGAGGATTTTGTGTTGTACGGTGGGATCGGGTTACGCGCCGCAACAACCTATGTGTTTCTATTTCCTTGAGCTGTGTTGATTTTCAGTATTCTCATTTGAAATGCTAAGGATTTGTAATTCTGGACGACACTGATTTATTACCTGAGGCTGTAGTTGTTATTTTCAGTTGACTGTCTTATTTCGTCCCGTATTTTCATTTATCTCTTTATTATATACTGCAGACAGGTTGTAGTGTAGGTGACCTGCCTTAGCCTCGTCACTACTTCATCGATGTTAAGCTCGACACTTAGAGAGTACATGGGGTCGGCTGTACTCACACTACACTCTACACTTCTTGAACAGATTTTGGAGTCGGTCCCAGCAGCGGCTATTAGCGTGCTTGGATTGATCAGCCTTGCGGAGACTCGAGGTACAGCTGCTCAACGCCCGCAGCTCCTAGAGTCCCTTTTTTTTATATATATATATTTTGTTGTGTACCATCTTTTCAGATAGTTTTATGTTATTTCAGACCCTTGTACGTACTATTCTAACAGCTCGTGCACTTGTGATACCGGGTTCAGAGATGTATTAAACGTTTGGCTGTTTTAGCTTCCACATTATTACTTTGGATTATTGCAGTTAATTCTGCTCTTCTTCATTATTCAATTTTTAAACTGTTAAAATGAATAAGTTGTTCTATCGTTAGCTTGCCTAACAAGTGAAATGTTAGGCGCCATCATGGTCCCGACGGTGGAAATTCCGGATCATGACACTTGCGAGATATAATATTTAATAGTATATGAAGTGCTCCATATTTATTAACCTTAAATAATAGGTTATATGGTCACTTTCCCATCAAGTGTTACTCAAATGCGTCAATCTTTTGTTCTTCCATATTCATATCATATGTTAAGATCTATTAAATTATTATATCTTTTCGAATGTGAAGTGATTATTATTATTTATGTATCATATTGGTTTTTATGTTTAATTACTAAATTCAGTTAACCTTAAAGTGTAAATCAATGAAACATTATTGCCAGACGACTAAAAAAATAACTATTATTATTATTAAGAAAATTCTCTCATAAGAATATTTTAATAGATAATATGTTTGTCAATTTTTTTTTAATATTTTTAATAAATATATATTTTCTTATAAAAAATTAACAACGTAAGATTGAAATAATATTTAAGTAACAAAAAATCCGAAAAATCCAACAAATGAGAACCAATCGGTTGGTTTGGTTGGATAAAAACCGAACCAACCCGATCCATGTACACCCCTAATTCTAATTAGTGAAACGAGGGTATAGTTGAGGCAAATTTTTCTAATTATATACTGAATTAAAGACCATTCTTTAAACCTTATAATTAAAAACTTAGATAACATATTGATGTGAAAAACTTACATAAAATAATGATTAGTTTTGATAATTAAAAGGATAAGATGTACTACGCGCATGTTTGACGTGAATTATCTAACTCTATATTTGTATTAAAAAGGTTAGAGATATTTGAAGATGTAAAAGATTACGTTTAAAATTTCAAGAGGGTACATTAATATTTACTTACAATATATGAATGTGTCAATTTTTGTTATGTTAATTAGATGAATTTCTTGTTCGCTTCAGAATAGTGATACTTCTATAAGTTTCACTTTTTATGAAGGCCCTTTATTTCACATGATACTTCATAAAATGAAAAAAAAAAGAAGACAAATGAGTTAAAAGGACTCAGTTCAATCATCTTGAAAAACAATCACGTTATTTCGTATTCAATTCACAAATTAAACAAGCATTAAGTAAACATTATTCTGAAATCAGTAAAATTTATCACGATTCCCGATCAATCAATAACACTAGTTAGTACCTTAGAAGTAGCTAGTATGTATAATACATTAGCGGATGCACTGAGCTTCACGTCACTCAGTAATATAAATTACTAATCTTTATGACCAAAAAAAAAAACTAATTCGAAATTTGTAAATCTGATATCAAAAAGAAAATTATTGTTCAAAATGTGAATTTTGACGAACTAATAATTAAATTAATACACTCAAATTAATAATATTCCTTGAGAAATAAATTGAATTTAAACAAATAGATGATATAAAGGAATTACTAAATGTAAATCATCAATCTCATATTGCATATTTGAGTCGCACATAGAATGTATCCACAAGTCTTCATTTTTGGTCATGGTGGACCTCCTTATGTTTCCATCCTTTTCCATGAAGTCGCTGCTTTCGTTGGTCACTTCAAATAGTTTTTTTGTAACTGAATTGTGGTATCTTTTATCGAATGTGTGGATTTAATCTAGTCATTTTTTCCCCTCAATAAGTTGATTAGTCAAGAACTTGATATTTATTGCAAATTAAGACGTCCTTGGACTTTTGTCATGCCAAGAACATTTTAAGTATTTTACGATTGTCATCTTGAAAAGCTACATGTGATTTGCTTTTCAAATTAGATTGATTGAAATAGTTATTGGATCAAATATTTCAATCTTGTTTGCACTTCATGTGTATTCCATCATGTTTTTTGATCTTATCCAAACAAGATTGGACAAGTCCATATTATGTATCAAAAAGTTCGAAAATAATCTTTATAAATAATATATTATTACCTTCTCTAGCTTTCTATAATTTAATTGACAATCAGTAAAAGAAAAAAACATCGGATGGTTGAGACTAGTTAGGAAGAAAAAAATGGGAATTTAACTTTTTCAAAATCTAATCAACTTTTGGTTTATGATCTGCTATTATAATTATTTGATCAACCTCTCATCGGTGAATTAATGCAACTTGTAAGTACTAGGAGTACCATTTTTTTCTAAAATTTATTGTCATTTAAACAAATTAAATTGCATACCATTCTTCATTTAGATAAGTAATTTTTTTAAATGACAATAAAATTCACAATAAATTTTAGACAAAAATGGTATTCTTAGTACTTACAATATATATATCTTACTTTTTATATGCAATAATTTATATTTATGAAGTAGGTTTTTGTCTCCATCTTATTCCAATTAATTAATCTTGTAAACTACTGATAAATAATTTATCACTTATATTTTAATTGAAACATATATAAACTCAGCTTGTACACATAATTCGTTGATGTCCTTTTTAGGCCTCATTTGTTTTTTTTTTTAAGATTAAGACGTCTGAATCTGAATACACGTCTGAATATCAAGATGTGCATTAAGATTAAGATATCTGAATCTAAATACACATCTGAATGTTAAGATATGTATTAAGATATGAATACTAAATGATTAAGACTGTTTGATTTTTAACATCTGAATGTATAAAATTTACGTTTATTTGAAAATTAATAAACATAAAATTAAAATAAAATACTAATTAATCTAATATTTCATCACTAAAATATATAGCTTTTTAAAATATGATAGTTGATGGTGGCGATGACTAACGGGAGTGCTTGTGAATGCCTACTAAAAGCAGTGGTTAGTGGTAGATTTGGTTGATGGCGGTAGTTTAGGATAGTAGCTGGTGGTGATTGGTAGTGGTAGCTATTTATGATTGAGGATGGTGGTGGTGAGTGGTGATAGATAATAATGACGGGTGGTGGTGGTGGTAGTTGTGATTGAGGAAGATGGTGGTGAGTGGTGGTAGTATATAATGATGGGCAGCGCCAGCTATGCTGTTGATGGTGATGAGATGGTTAGTTGTGGTAATTGATGTGGATGAATATTGGTTGTCGTTGAGAATGATGATGATGAGAGTGGTGAGAATGGTGGGTAGTGGTAGTCGACAATGGTGGCGGCTATGATTGAAGATGATGGTGGTGATAGTTGAGTATGATGGTGGTGGGTGGCATGGTGGTAGTTGATAATGGTAGGTAGTGGCGGCAGTTAATATTAACTATGGATGATAGCATCTTAATGAAATTAAGTCTCTATTATAGATCTTAATGATACAGACCTATTCAAACTTATTAAGTGGTTGTGAAGTAAAAAAAAAAAAAAACTTAATGATTAAGATCTGAATAATTAATACTCAGACTTTAAAAACAAACACACTTAATGTCTGAGATCTAAATGATTAAGATTCAGACCTCCAAACAAATGACGCACTAGTCTAATGTCACAACACTCAAATACTTACCTAGTTTTTTCAATGTACTAAAAAAAATATTTTCCAAAGCTTTGTCTACGCATGAATTGCAGTAATAAATTTATGAATTATCGTTGAAGTTTGCCACATTCATAAAAATATTATTTGAGAGTAAAAAAGGAATGGGAATTCTATTAAATTAAGCTAACCACTTCTTTAAATGCAACTAGTGATTGTATGTCTCGAAATATATGAATAGTCGAGAGAAACTTCTATAAAAGAAAAAGTCGACAGAAATTTACTTACGTGAATTGCAATTATAAGGAAAAATTAATGTCTCTTTAGTACTAACAAACATTATGGGAAGACGTATTTAACTACAGTTACAACTAATGCAGATATTATTGAACACTTCTTTTAAAGTAAATTTTCATTTTCATTGTTTAATGTGAAGTCGCAGTGTAGTAAAATTTTGTCCCAAGCCATTGAGCCACTATCACACCGTCAAAGGTTGATTGGGTACAAGAAATTTTTATCAACTGTCGTCGGTTCCAACCACACAGATTACCATATCCTCTCTTCCGTCAATATAGCAAAATAGCCCCCAATTTTTCATACAAATTCTAAAAACACTCTTTTCTCTTTCCCCATACAGTTCACACTCTCCTCTGTCACTTTTTTCCTCCATTTTTCATACGCCCATTTCCTCCCAAATCCACAGGCAGATCTGACCCTCGTCGAACCAGATCGGACCCCTAGTTACACCGGCAATGGAGGAGGCACTGGAATTGGCACGTGCCAAGGACACGAAGGAGAGAATGGCGGGCGTAGAACGACTGCACCAACTTCTCGAAGCTTCTCGAAAGAGCCTCTCTTCTTCGGAAGTCACTTCTCTTGTGGATGTTTGCTTAGATCTTCTGAAAGACAACAACTTTAGGGTTTCTCAGGGTGCCTTACAATCGCTCGATTCCGCCGCTGTACTCTCCGGTGAACACTTGAAGCTTCACTTCAATGCACTTGTACCTGCCGTCGTTGAAAGATTAGGCGATTCGAAGCAGCCCGTTAGAGATGCGGCTAGACGATTGTTGCTTACTTTGATGCAGGTAACTCTTGCATGAGAACGCACTTACTTACTCTTCATTTTACTGTAACTCTACTCTAATTGAATTGAGTTTCTTTGCTAAATTTTATTTGGTACTCTACTTAATGCGAGCATATTCTTTTTTTTTTCTTTCGAATTTTCGGATAAATTGATTGGTTAGAGATTTGTATTGCAGTACAGGGATAACGTGTGAGATTTGGAGAGTCTCTAGTTTAGGAGAACCCTTAAATCTTGCTTTATGCTGAAGCGGAATGAATATAGAGGATTCATATAGCTAACCCCCGATTGTGGCATAGTTGTATTGTTGGTTCAAACTCGGAATACTGGTTGAATATTTTTATTTTTCCTTCTAATTTTCTTATTGTTTTGGGGGATAAGGATGGTTGGGAGGTGGTTGAACGATTGGAATCTTTTATTGGAATGAGTGAATAATAAAGAAATGATTTATATGATACAATTATTTGCCAGCGACCAATAATGAAGTTCAGTTGTTTAGGGTATGTGTAGTATTTTCAGATTTTCTCCAAAATATGCGATATGCTTGTTATGTGTGCGTTGGTCCTACTGTATGCACATGCTCACTTTCAGGGATGAAAATTGTGATAATAGTGCAAGATTATGGTTTACCATTCTGTAACTGAAAATTATGCAGAACATCAGTAATGATTAAGTTTTTTTGACATGTTTACTTTGACCAAACATACGATCAATCTAAAATGTATCAGTAATACAAAACAACAAACTTATCACATTTGTTGCTATAATGTAAAACTAATTTAGCCTGGTATTTAAGTGGAGAAGAGTTGAGGCGTGGACCCATGTAAAACTAATTGAGCACTTATACTACAAGGTGACCTTTTGAGCAATAATTTTATTTACTCTCAGATGTGAATATTTTTTGTTAGAGCAGTTACAACCATCATGAGATAATTTCACATGTCAAATATTAAAAAATTACTCATTTGTGCTAGTTACTGGAAATCTATTTGGTTGATTAATGTATATGTTCTACAGGTTTCTTCACCAACTATCATTGTTGAGAGAGCAGGGTCTTATGCTTGGATGCACAAAAGCTTCAGAGTTCGAGAAGAATTTGCTCGCACTGTTACATCAGCAATTGGTCTTTTTTCAGCAACTGAGCTGCCCCTTCAACGGGCCATTCTTCCTCCTGTATGTCAATCAGCACGAATGCCGATGAAGCTTTTTTGTATGTTGTCATAGGACATTAGTAACCTTTTCTGGATCCAATTATGTAAACATCCTTCTTCTTGCTGCTATTGTCAGATTCTGCAAATGTTGAGTGATCCTAATCCTGGTGTTAGAGATGCAGCCATATCATGTATTGAGGTTAGCAAAACTGTTATCTCATCTCAATTTCATGTAATTGCATCTATCTGTAGACTGAAGAATTTTCTCTTTTCTCTAGATGGAAAGGAGAGAATTTTTACTTCCATTTGAATTGTTAGAGTTGTATTGATTAGTGTCTAGTGTGTTAGTGATTTTGCTGATGGCTTGTTCCGTCGAATCTTGACAGTCTGTGTTAATTGGAGTGATACGGTAAGTTGCTAATTGTTTGAAAAAGACAAAAACTGTATTTGTAAGGCCAATAGCAAAATTTGAGATAGGGAGAGAAGAAAAAGAAGAACCAACAAACACACCAAAATTTAGTTTGTTTGTTTTGGGGGGGGGGGGGTGGCNGGGGGGGGGGGGGTTGCAGAGGCTTTGAGAGATTTTAATCCATAAGAAATAGCTTAAGTAATTTATTAAGGCTTGATGTTGCTTACTTGAATATGCCCTGAGTTAACATGCAAAAGAGGCCAATATACTACATATCGGTTGCTTCAGTGTAGATATATAAGAATTCTGGTTAGGCCATTATGTTGGGTTTGGATGGGAAAAAGATACTAGTCTACATGTTTTCTGAAAATAACAACATACCAAGTGAAATCCCATAAGTGGAGTTTGGGAAGGGTAGTGTGTACTCAGACCTTACCCCTACCTTGTGCAGGTAGAGAGGTTGTTTTTGATAGACCCTCGGCTCAAGGCAAGCATAGTCACAACATTTTAGAGTAAGAAATACAATATTGAAAAAGTCAATGGAAAAGAAGCAGTAACAACATCAAGGTAATCATAAAACCGAAGCAGAAGCATCATCAGGTAGTAATTAAGATCTAAGAATAAGGAAATACTAGATTAATACTACAACTACTGGTACGGAAAGAAAACACATTGGATTACCTCCTAATCTTCTACCATAATTCTCGATCTCCACCCCCTTTTATCAAGGGTCATGTACTCGGTATGCTGAAGACAGTGTTGTGAAGAGCGTGAAGAGAGGAAAAGCGACGAGCCTCTTTTCGCTTAAAGCGAGAAGCGAAACGCTCACTTTTTTGAAATGATGCGGAATTTTTTTTAAAAAAAATATTAAAATAAATACTGCATAGACAACACATGTATCTGTAAGCAAATGTTCAATACTTTAATGTAAAAACTAAAGAGTACTATCAATTAAAGCACAAAATGAGCATCCTATTCTTCTACAAGATTAAATGAAATGAAATATAATGGTAGTAAGTATACGGAAAAAATAGCAGTAACTGAAATGAAAAAAATTGGGCAGCATTTCGCTGCAATTTATCACTGAAACAGTGAAAAAAAAAGAAGAAGATAAAGAAGAGAATGAGAAAAAGAACTGGAGAGAAAACAAAAATTGCCAGCATTTTGCTGCTATTTTGGGACTGAAACAGTGAAAGAAAAAGGAGGAGGAGGAGGAGGAGGAGGAAGAAATCACATTACTTGGACTTGAACTTGATAAACTTTTTAAATTTTTAACGTTGGCAGCCCCTAATATGTAGAAGCTTTCGCTTCTTTCGCTACTGTCGCTTTTACGCTTCTCGCTATTTATGCATAGGCGCTTTATTTATTCAACCTGCTATGCTTCACATCACAGAAGTGCCCGAGGTCTCGCTTCGCTCTTTTCACAACACTGGCTGAAGATGTGCAATGTCCTGCCTAATTACCTCTCTCCACTACTTCTTTGGCCTACCTCTACCTCTTCTTAGACTCACCACACCTCTTCGCTGGGCCATCTATGCATCTCCTCTTCACATGTCCAAACCATCTCAGTCTCGCTTCTCGCATCTTGTCCACTACTGAGGCTACTCCCACCATGTCCCGAATAACTTCATTCTTGACTATATCTCTCCTAGTATGCTCATACATCCATCCTTATTTCTGAAAATCAAATATAAATTTCAGTTTTAGAGTCACATAATGAAGAAGGCTTAACACTCTATGTATGATTTGGAAATACAAACTACTTGTTGAAGCAAAGTTGAGTATAAAGGATAAGATAGGTATTTGAATAGTCTTATATCATTTGGTTGTGGTTTAATCGAGGAGCCATGATGAAGCCTTTGGGGAACTTTTGTACTTGTGAAGAGAACTTATTGCACCCTTAGTTCCTCCACCCGATGAGAGGATGATTGCAAGATAGTCCTATAGCAACATCACCACCTCCAACCGTACGATTGGGGAATCTCGAGTCACCAAGGGAGCAAGGTGGCAAAAGCCTCTTATGTTGCTCGAACACGAGTGCGTGTATTCGATCGGGGTGCGGATCTAGAGATTGAATCCTTCATAATCTAAATTTTTAAGATTCGGTGGTATGGATCTAGGTACGGATACATGTGCGCACGGATTTGGCTAAAAATAATTTAAAATTCTAAAAATAGATCTAATAAATATCCAAAGTTATGATAGATATTCTGTGAAAAACTTATAAGTAATGGAGTGCAACCAATAGTTCAATCTTTCATTTAGAGTCTCAAGTTGTAGGCACTAGCAGGCAGCAACTAAAATGCGATCTTTCATTTTTCCGTCAAATTTGTCCATGGATTGTCGTCAAAGTATCCAATCTCGATTAACCACAAACGGTACGGATCCCACGCCCTTACCAATATCGTGTCGACACGGGCGTGGCGGGTAAAATGAAGAGTCCGTGCAATATAGTAACCACTAATGGCCTCCTGGCTAGCGGAGGTTTGAGGGATGNCACCTTGTTATCTATTTTGCTGGGATTTCTAGATGTTCATTTCCTCAATTGGTATCGGTCTTTAACCCTAGACTTCGAAGTCTTTGGTTTTACCGTTCAGCAATCAACTTTAATTCGGAAAAGTGACTGTTTTAGTTTCACTCTCAAAGTCATAGCACGTCTCTGACTGTGAGGTTATGTGGCTTTTCTTCTCCCTTTCAGTGATTAACTGGTACCATGGAGTCAAAGTCATAGCACATCTCTGTCTGTGAGGTTATGTGGCTTTTCTTCTCCCTTTCAGTGATTAACTGGTAACATGGAGATGCTCCAGTTTCACAGTCTTTGTTTTTATTCTTTTACAAGCTTGAGGTCTTGGTTTTGGCTAATGGCTAGTTATCAAGGAATTCGCCTGAGATTGACCAATTTAATTGATCAAACATTTAGAAATTATCTATAATTAATAGGCGAAGGCTGAAGATTGTCTGAACTAGCCCAAGGATCAGTTCTAATTGAAAGCAAGATCACAGGACACAATGTTTTAGCTTGCATACACATTCAATCTGAAAAAATATGAAACTCTAATTCTCAATGGAAAAGTAAGAGTAGATTCTTGAATCTAATTTACCTTTTCTGAACCGTGTAACCAAGATGATCAGCTTGATTCATGTGCCTAGTTACTAGCTGTGTAGGTTTCGGATTTAAAACCATTATATGCTGCGTGGAAGTGATTAGCTGTTACTAGTTGGATTGTAATCATTTCTCTGTAGTTGGTTAAAGTTGCAGCAGGAGGTAAGCTGTTGATGAATGTTTGGAAATATTTGGCCTCTGTATGATTCTGCTGCTTGTTAATATTGGTGTATCATTACTGAATTCTTACTGTATATTATTCTATGATATTGTTGTTTTGCTTCTTTTCTCTAACAAATATCTAGTTCCATGATTAAGATTTATGCCTTTAACAGTCGTCCCTCACTCCATGTTTTATCTTCTTTGCAGGAGATGTATTCACAGGCTGGACCTCAGTTTCGTGATGAGCTTCAGCGCCATCATCTTCCTACCATGATGGTATATTACATAACTTGAGACTTTTTCATTCTAGTAAATAACTTCCTATCATATGTAGATTTTATTTCGCTTGGTCACTAAAAGCAAAAATTTCTTCTCAATCTGTCTTGACTTGATAACTGGCTGCAGCTAAAAGATATTAATGCCAGACTAGAGAAGATTGAGCCCAAAAATCGATTAGCAGATGGAATTCCAAGAAACTATTCAGCTGCTGAGGTGAGACCCACTAGTCTTAATCCCAAGAAAAGCAGCCCGAAGGCTAAAAGTTCAACAAGAGAGGTATCTCTTTTTGGAGGTTAGTAATATGTTTTGGAAACTTCTATTTTATGGTAAGCTTTTGTGGGCATCCTATTGTCATGTTGTTCGGTATAGAAGT